GGAAGTGATGCACTTACTGCTTTAAAACGTTGTACAGGCCAACGTCAAAGCGTCTGAATGCAAAAAAAAAGGATAAATAGAAGACAATATAAATAGAACTGATAGGTACGAAAACAGAAAAGTATGATCATACATAGTAGGAAAGTAAAACTTTACGAGCTACCGAATTACCTCCAAATTTCTGACGACGTAAAGGCGACCATTACACAGCAGGGGCCCTCTGGCATCAAGCATTCTGTTTTAACCTCTACTTTGAGCCACCGTTCAATCAGCGAGGCCTCCTTCCAAATTCTTTCTGCGTTTGGATTACCTTTAACAAGCTGCGTTGTGTTTGAAGCAAAGGCAGGTGAAAGGAGTAGCTGTTGAAGGTCCCCAATTAGTCGCGATAAATTGTAAAAAATGACGTAGAAGACGTTGAATCGGACGACAAACATGTAAGCGGCAAAGCATAGGATGGACCCATCAATTAACGCATCCCGACCTTTGAGTATCCGTTCGAAGGGTGCTGCAAGAACGTCGATAAAGTTGACTGAACATATGATGTATTTGTGCACACAGCACCAAAAGGTGATTCGCAATGCACGAAGGAGAATTCGACGTAGCGAAAGAGTCCGCACCACAGTGGCTTTACCATGAAGCTGTCGGGAAGCCATCTGGAAAGGTCCACTCCACTTGAACTAAAATAGGTTAATCACTGCGAACAGTGTAAGCCAAGAGACGTTCCTAGAATCAGTGACAATTAGCTCGTCTTCCATAGTAGTGGAGGCGAACGCCTATTTCCCAATGTTGGTTCAATGAACAGCTGGTTTGCACCCATTGACTTTGTTTCCTTACAAAAATCCCTTAACTGAATAACTCATAATTAAACCACTCACTCAGCAACGATCCAATGCAGTTCAAGATACTGTCAGTAATGTATGCAATCAAAGTACTGCACAGACTCTTCAGTCTCCACAGCTTGCGCTCACGTTTTGGTGGCACTACAACGACAGCTCACAATTTCAAGGACATGCAAATACTAAATCGCCCTATTCCTTGATAGCATGGCGCATTGCAACTCCAGGAAGGGTTGAGAGACTATGTTGACCAAAGAAGCTGGTCTTTTTTATCCAGTGAGATAATTGGCTTTTGCTTTGAAGAAGGAACACCTACCGTGGATTATCGAATCTAACAAAGGAATAGCTAAAAATGTTTTCCACCCGTAACATTCATACTACTCTTGTGCTCACAAAAGGCCAATTAAAAATGCAAAGCGAAATCAAATTGAAACGATTTTAAAATGCCGTTTGCGAAATGTGAATTGGGAGCCACTGGAGGCGGAAAAATAAATG